GTCTACGTAGCAAGTTCCAGGCCAGCCAGAGCTACACAGTAAGACCCTATCTTGAAAATCAAAACCAAATCAAACAAAAAAAAAAAAAAAGAAGAAGAAAAAGAAATTGTAAACCCCAGCGCTTGCTGCTGTATGGCAGGAGAATGAGTGCCTTCTCTGTGCTCATGAGTTCAGCCACTGCCTCCGCATTTGGGAACCTGCGCTGTCTTTCCCTGCAGGCTCTTTGTTTCTGGCCAGATTCCAGCTCACTGAAGATGGCTCATAGATCAGGGTTGTATGAGTGGGTAAGTGAATGAATTCCTGAGTATGGACTCCAGGGTGACAAGGGTTAGCCAGCCTTTCCTTCGCTGAGCTCCAAAACCTCCAAGTTGTAAGGTGGACACTCTGAGCCACACTCTCATCTCATTCATTCCTTCAGCCGAAGCCTATGGCATGAGCTACTGCATTCATTCGTTCCTTTATTTGTTCCTTCCTTCATTCCTTCATCAGAAGCCTAAGCTGTATACAGAGCCAGTTGGCCAGAGAACCTGAAAAAAAAAATCTCCATGGCTTTTTTTTGATGGACAAGCTTGCTGGGCAGTGGTAAGAAATCTGAGCTGCATGACAAAGCTATAACCTCCCTCCCGGGCTCTAAGTCAACACCAGAGACGCTTGCATGCCCACGTTATAGACGCATCATTCATAACAACCAGGAAATGAAATTGGCCTAGATTCCATCAACAAATGAATAGGAAAAAGAAAATGCAGTGTGTACACAGAGTGGGATTTTATTCATCTGTAAGGGAAAACGAAATCATAGCATTTGCAGGAAACTGGGTGGAACCAGAAATCTTTATGTTAAGCAAAGTAAATCAGCCTTAGAAAGACAAAAACCGTATGTTCTCTAGTGTAGAATCTAAGTTTAAACTTACATACGTGTGTGTGTGTGATGTGTGTGGTGTGGATGTGTGTTTCTGTGTGTATGTATGGCTATATTTGTGGAGTTTATGTCTGTCTCTGTGTGTGTGCCTCAGTGTGTTTCTGTGTGTGTGTGTGTGTGTGTATGTGTGTATGTGTCTTTGTGTGTGGTGAGTGTAGATGTTTGTATGTCTGTATATATGGTGTGTCTGTGTGTGCATGTGTGTGTGTGTCTTTGTGTGGTGTGTGTGTTTAGGTTAGTGTGTAAGTGTATGTGGTGTATGTGT